GTCAGGCGAATAAATATATTGTCCCAGCGATCGAGTCGTCTTCTACTTCTCAGCCTACAATCGCTTCGGTGCCGGAACAATGGCATGCATTTCAGACCAATGAATTGAAGTGTTGGAGTTGAATTGTTGGAGTCAAAAAATTATCACCACCCTGCAGTTCAATTGGCTACAGCGTTTGCTGTACAAAAGCTTCCCCTTGCTAGCGTAGGTTCGAATCCTACCGGGTTTTTCCAAAACTGTGTCAAAGGAATCATTCAAATCTGTCAATCCCCACCCTCTGCCCCTACTAAAAATATTTTGTTTGCAAGGACAAAGAACTACGCTGCTGTAAAAACTGTATATGAAATCAAGCCTCAACATATTCCATTTCATCGGTGTGTAACCGGTTAAAGCAGACTGTACGAACAGGCAGCGCGCGCAGAAAGGACATTAGGGAACCAAAATACCTCATTTAGCGGGTTTTTCAAACGACAGAGAGATCCCTGAAAAATTTACAAATTTAGACTTCACGTTTCCCAAAGAATTAATCGTGGGGCTCTCTAACAGTCCAAGAAGTCAACGTTTAATTTGACACTATAAGTGCATTTCCATGTTTGTGTAAGTTCCTCCAGTAGTGTATGAGAATGATCGAAAAAACACGGCACAGAGGAAGTCTAATTTTCAAAATTCCTACCTGCCCTTGACCGCTAAAGTATCAAAATAAAGGCTCACCAGATATTTACTGATTATTTACACAGGACGGCACTGGGGTCAAACAGAGAGGGGAGGTTGGGAAATCAATGGTAATCTAGGAGGAATATGATCAAGAGGCAAGTCAGGCAGGGGGTCAAAGGGGAGATGTAAGGAGTCAAAACCAAGAAGAAATATGTACATGGCATTAATGCATCCTCAGAAGGAAGTCAGGGTCCGAGGACATAAAAAGCACCAATGCACTTTCAGTGTGCGTTTTAGCAAGCGCAAGGAACTACACAGAAGCACAGTCTGCTGTTCCGAACGGTAAGAATATGATTTTCATTCATCTCCTGCCATTCCCCGCTGCAACGGCGAACGGCAAATTCTGGTCGAAGTTAAAAATATGAAAGGAGCAATATTATGAGTGGGAAGAGACCAATCACGTGGCAAGGCTTGTGCTCATGTTGCTGGATGGATTGGCGATAACAGTAGCCGCGGCGGGGCCATCGGTGAACCGCAGAAGAGCCTCGTTGACGGCACTGACGGCTGCATAAGCCGCCTCAAATATCTTTCGACGACTGAGGTAGGATGACTCGCCCCCAGCGTTGCTACTCGCT